AAATGAGACTGAATCCTCCGCTTGAACATGGAAAGATACATTTCCATATGTCTTCTTGTACATGTCGAGAGTAGTGCAGCGAGCCGGTTGGTAAACATTACCGTTGAGGTTCTGACAGGTTGGACGCGCCGGGCTTCACCCGTGCAAAGAAATTGGATGTTCTTCCTTCACGTTTTTTTCTTTTTATTAAAAAAAAAAAATCCACGAAAAACAGCTGCCAGTTCCGTCGTTTTCTACTTCAGAACGAAGAGAACGTTTTGAGAGATCGGGACCCTCATCATGACTGAATCTGGCCTGCAAGAACCCTACCCTACAGACTGCAATTACCGTTGAGGTTCTGACAGGTTGGATGTGCCTGGCGACACTCGTGCAAAGAAATTCTTGATTTTTTTCCATTCCAGGAAAAACGGCTGTCAGTTCCGTCGTTTTCTACTTCAGAAGTAATAAGAAGAGAACGTTTTGAGAAATCGCGACCCTCATCATGACTGAATCTGGCCTACAAGAACCCTACCATACAGACTGCAATAACCCTACCATACACACAGAATGTTACCCGAACTACAGATTACTAAAAGCTTGTGGGCCAACGAGCGGCCTCCAAAAAAAATCTGGCTGCCCGTTTCTTATTTTACGCAAGCAGGGGTCCGGGTCTACTACCGCCCCTCACAACTTTTTTTTTTTTTTTTTGACCCCCATTTTTGGAGGTGCGCCGCATGCAGTGCGCGCGCGTCGCGCGGGATGCGCCGTGCGGCGCACGTGCGCAGTGCAGCGCATCGCGATGCGCCGCATGTATGACAGAAACCGAGAAACAACACAGAGAAAAAAGAACGTGAAGGGAAAGCAGTTCAAAAAACAAAACAAAAAACCCAAAAAGAGAAAGAGAAGAATGTGAGGACCCCCGCCTCGAATTTGATGTTTGAAATATATGGGTGACCTGTTTTGTGGAGAAAAAAAAAGAAGGGAAAAGTAGACGAGAAAGGAGAAAGAAGACAGTTTACCAACGGGCGTAGCTCAGTTGGTAGCACGCCTGATCTTTTGAAATAGTAGACGGTAGACCTGAGTTCGAATCCAGGTGGAACTAGATGAATTAATTTCTGAATAACTTCGGGCCCGACGGCACGGCCCGTCAGTTTGACGATGATATAACTCTCGCGGCCGTCGACCTTTCTTTAAAAGAAAGGAAAAAGGGAGGAAAAAGGAAAATGGGAAACAAAAAAAAAAAAAAAGGACTGGAAACTCTAAAAGCTGCTCAACTTGGCAGCTCATGTTTTTTTTCTTTTTTTCTTTTTTTAGGGGGAGGGGTGCAGGTGGAGGCAGGAAGGGGCGCAGAGAGCAAATCAATCAACCAGTCAAATCCGTTGTGCAAAAAACTCTGGCAAAAAAAAAAAAAAAAAAAAAAAAAAAAACTCTGGCAGAAGAGACGATCCCCGACAAATAACAACTGGTCTGGCTGGTCAAATCTGGTCCATTGAAAAGGAAAAAAAAACACCCAAAAGAGACGACGATCCAAAGGTTCAAAGGACAAGACGAGAACCTGGGCCATTGAAAGAAGAAAAACAATTCTCATTGCCCTCGAATATCCAGAAGAAGAAGAAGATGACACCGCGACTTGGAAGTGCTGCCCCCATCGCACAGAGTCGTCTTTCCGCTTTCAAAAGCTTTCGCCTTGCCATATTTATTTTCGCTTAATTAACCTTTGGAGAGGGGCAGAGGGCGTCGGCTTTTTTCCGCTGGCTGGAAACCGGACACACTGTTGCCGTCCATAACATCTCTCTCTAGTAAAAGAGAGTACAAACCCCCATCAAAAACAGGCTTGCTGAAACCCAAGGGCTTAGTCTCTCCCCTGCACCGCAACAAGTAGGAGAGAAAGACCAAAACAGGGGAGATGCAGCAAGGGCGCGGTGGGGCGGTTAAGGGGGGAGAGGGAGGGGGAAGGGGGAGGAGGGGCAGGGGAAAGCAATCCAACAGCCAGCCAGCCAGCCAGACACCAGAAAGGAACACAACAAAGAGACAACAACCGCTCCCCCCCCCCCACCACCACCACCACAGGGCGGGAAACGAACGATGAACAAGAAAGCCCAAAGCCAATCGAGAGGACGAGCAAACATCAACAAACAACACAATGCCAGGTCAGCAAATACCTTTTTATTTCCAAAGTAGGCAAATGCAGCACATAACTTTATTTCCAGAAAAGGCAAACGGAAGGTCTATTTTATTAATAATCAGTAACTATAATTAACACTTTTGTTATTATTGTTCTTATTTCTATGTGCTAAATCATTGATTGGCCAGGACAGATATGCACATGCAAACAAGTCTTTGGGCCTCGCTTGACTACACAACACTACGTATCCGGAGCTCATAATTGTCCCGATACATTCAACATGGTGGACTCCTCCCAATGCACCATGCATGCAGAATGTTGAGTAGTGGAGCAAGGCCCGTTGTCGCCTTTTGCAAATTGGTTCTTGCTACAAGACGTGGAAGAAAAGGCAACAAAAAAAAAAGAGGGATGAATGCAAGCAAGCGTCAAAGCAGCGTGCGGGCCTGCTTTTCACTGGCGCCACCAGCCATTTCGGTCCAGCACCCGAACCCCCGAAAACTTTGCCTGTTAACAAGCCGCGACTTTTGTTTTTCAACGGGGAAAAGGTACTGGTGGTTCAGGGGAAAAAAATAAAAAAAGGAGCCAGCAAGCCCAGCACACATAACGAACGCTGTTTTCTTCCGCGCATACCTTGCCTCTCCTTGCTCCCCCCCCCCCCCCCCCCCCCCTTCGCCCCCCAACTCCCCTCGCACAGAACGGACGACCTCCCCCCCCTCTCTCACCTCACCCCGCTTGCCTTATCCTCAGCTATGGTACTTGTCCTTACAATTGGGTGCATCAGTTAAACATCGGTTAAACAATTGGGTCCATCAGTTAAACATCGGCTAAACATCGTCTAAACATCGGTTAAACCGGTTAAACATCAGTTAAACAACTGCGTGCATCGGTTAAACATTGGTTCAACAATTGGGTGCATCAGTTAAACATCGGTTCAACAATTGGGTGCATGGTGAAACATCAGTTAAACAATTGGCTGCATCAGTCAAACATCAGTTAAACATCGGTTAAACTGGTTAAACATCGGTTAAACAATTGGGTGCATCGGTTAAACATCGGTTAAACAATTGGGTGCATCGGTTAAACATCGGTTTAACAATTGGGTGCATCGGTTTAACATTGGTTAAACATCCCTTAAACATCAGATAAACATCGGATAAACATCGGATAAACATCAGATAAACATCGAATACACATCGGTTAAACATCGGTTAAACATCGGTTAAATGTCAGTTAAATATTGGTTAAACTTGGGTGCATCAGTTAAACAATTGGGTGCATCGGTTAAACATCGGTTAAACAATTGGGTGCAACGGTGAACCACCGGTTTAACATCGGTTTAAACATCGGTTAAACATTGGTTAAATATCGATTAAATATTGGTTAAACATCGGTTAAACAATTGGGTGCATCAGTTAAATATCGGTTAAACATCGGGTGCATCAGTGAACCATCGGTTTAACATCGGTTTAACATCGGTTTAACACCGGTTTAACATCGAGTACCCAATTAGTGGACCCAATTAGTGGCCAACTACCTTCTGCTTGTGGTCCACCCCTCACCGCCAAACGATAGACAACCACTTCACGACAATAACACAAAACACGTACTTGTCGCTACAAGTAACACTGCATGAAACGAAAAGCAACTCTTAAAAAAAGAAAAAAAGGCTCCTGCCTGGTAGAAGGGCCGAGGTCACCGGTTCGATTCCGTTTGGCAGCGGGTTTCCGTCTGGCTACGGATCGATTACTGGGCTACAACGATAAACCTACCAACAGGTACGAGCCCATTAACCAGCTAGGGGATGTTCACCTGGATTTGGTGTATGGGATGCTGATCGGCAACTGCGGAGGGTCTGGATTCTGCGTGGATGCTGCTGCCTGCGGAGGGGATCTCATGGATGTCCTGCGTTGTCGATGTAAGTCCTTTTGCTGCAACGGGGCTGGGGTGTGCTGAATGTCACTACCGCTATGGCTTCAGTTTTGAACAACACCGGTTCACCATGATTGCAGTGGTAAAGGCATCCGGCTGCTGCTACAGCGGAGGTCACCGGTTCGATTCCGTTTGGCTGCGGAATTACGTCTGGCGGCAAAATTACATCTCCCTGCGGATCGATTACTGGGCTACAATGATAAACCTAGCAAGCAATAGTAGAAGCTGTGGTAAGAGCATCCCCTGCTACTAAGGTCGGTGCTCGAAAAGCAACTCAAAACGCGTACTCCTCCCTCCTAGTAGAGGGCGTGAAGCCAACACAAACAACTCACCGCCAATTTGCGCAAAATTACCTGGGCTACCAGCCGGGCCGCCCAGGTCACCTTGTTTGACCGGGCAGCCCGGCCGTGTAGGAACCACAGAAGGGACCAGCAAAAAAAAAAAAAAAAAAAAACGAAACAAACTATGTGATGCAGAAAAATCAACTGAACAACTTTTGCTTCAGGGTGGCATCGAAATTCTTTACCAATTAAAAAAAAAAAAAAATGTAAAAAATTACTAAAATACATAACATATATTCATCAAAGTTCAAACAGAGCTGCCCGGTAAACCATAGGCAGAGAGGAAGAAGAGGACAATAAACGAGATATCGTCAATATACCTACATAGCACCGTGTTCGTGTTCAGAGGCGAACGCGAACAAGTGCCCAAAACCCTCCGAACGCAAACATAAAAAATATTTAAAAAAAAACAAAAAACGTTCTCAGAAAAATATGAAAAAATATACTTTTAATTATTTTTAATTATTTTTGGCCCAGCCGGGCAAGTTGCCCCTGGCCACTCTGGTATCCTAGTGCCAAACGAAATACAACCGCTTCACGACGACGACTCCAAACACATGCTTGTGGCTACTACCTTCTTCACCCGAATATAACGTGTGGTCATTATAGCTATATTTGGGGTATCTTTCCGTCTAAATACAGCATAATGACCCTACATTGTATTCGGTGAAGAGGGTAGTAGAGGGCATCAAACAGACACACACAACTCACCGCCAGCCAACCGAAAGATTGCGGCCTCAAGACAACAACTCCAAAATGCACACAGCTTGTCACTTGTAGAGGGCATGAAACAACAAAACCATGCTAGGTCATGAAACAGCGGAGAGGAGTTGTGGAAGTAATGACAACGGATTACGCTCCACCATCGAGCTTACCTATTCTGGCCGCCTTCCAGAAGAATCCCCGGAACCTGTTACCATGCAAAAATAAAAACAAAAAAATCCAGCAGTAAGCTCACTGGCTGCCCCGCGGCCATCATTTAAAAAAGGACTCTGTTCAATAATTTTCAATTCAAAGAATGTGCAGAAGCTGCAGCCAAAAGAGGGCCTGACAGCAGGCAGGCAGACACAGCTGAATTGGACTCGGATGGTAAAATCACTCAAAATGGCCCAAGTAAGCATTAAAAAAAAAAAAAAAATCAAAATCAAAAACAAAATGACCCCAGTATATAATAGGTGCAAATAACACGGCCTTCCAGGTCACCTGGGTTGCCCAGGCAGCCCGGCCGGTCAAGGGCAAGGGAAGGTCCCTGCATTAAAAGAAACACACACAAACACACACACACACACACACACACACACACACACACACACAGAGTACTTTGTGCAGAAAAATAAACTGGATAACTTTTGCCTCAAGATCACATCGAAATTCTTTACCAAAAATAAAATTAAAAAAAAATAAAAATAAAATGAATTTATGATCATTCCATTTTCTTATTTGATTTTTTAACACATACTTTTTCCAAAAGATTAAATCATGTGCGCGAAACGTACTGATTGACCAGCTGCGACAAGGTCACCACACCACGTCTGAGCCGGCAGAGATGTTGCAAATAGCAGCTGAATTCTTGCCTAACCTGTACACAACACAGGAGAATGCTCACCCGAAAGACGCACCTTCCTTCGGGCGAGGAGCAGATTCTCCGTGCACCTGGACAGAACCCCATCGGCTGAACACTAACCAATCTCCGACCACCCCATAGACCAGGAGCAGGTGAGACGGGCGATAATGGCACTACAGCCCAACACAACACCACCTTCCAGATAGACGGCCTGTCCAAGGCATTTTGGACAGGCAATACGTAGTGGCTGATATTTGTGGAGGAGTGCCACGACTTCCTACAAAAGAGCGAACAGGCGGAGGGCGTGGGAGTCGGAGGGACAATAAATGGAATGGCGGCATCAACCGGTTCCTTCGGACCGGTGAACCCATCGGGTCTCGTTCGGGGTGACCCGGCTGAGCCTGTTGTTAGTCGGTTGCCGCAACTTGCCGGAATGTGTGTATTAAGATCTCCCCATCCCGGTGGGTGGCAGCGACATTGCCCACCTTCCTAGGGTCGCCCTCCCTAAGGGCGACCCAATCGCTTTCCCTGAGCTTGGGGCCATTCTTGAGAATGCGTACCCAGTCCAGGGGGACGGAAAAGTTCAAGGTGTCCAAAGCACCCCTGGGTTGTGAGAATATTTCAGGTTTGCCCTTAGGTCCTCTGGCGAGATCCAGTCCTGCTTCTGCTGTCCCCAAGCCTCATGACCCGCGCTCGACGCCCACCCTTTCCACGGGTTGTCGGTGCCGCAAAACACTCCAATTTGGGGGGTCGGTAATCCACCGACTTCCAAAAAGAGGATTTGCCTTGCCACTTCCTCCCATCTCGATGGGGAGACTTTTGTCTGGGAGGGGAAGCTTCCGCCATACTTCAAGCAGGATGGTCCGGACCGGGTCATTGGCGATGTCGCATCCGACAGCCTGTCTGTCGCCATAGGCCAGTAATGGTCCTCCCGCCACACATGCACGCACGGGTTCATGTGTGGTGGGGTTGGGGGAGCCAGTCTAGCTAATTGCTTGAGTGTGAGTGCTCTCCAGGGCAGGTTTGGGGTGAAGAGTAGGCTGCTGATTTATTGCAGCGATAACGCCATGAGATGGGTCGATGGATCGATACTCCCCAAGCCTCCCTTGGACTTTGGCCGGACTACCGATTCCCATGCCACCCCGCTAATCGCATGCTGTTGCTCAAAATTTCCCCTCCAAAGTAAGGCGCCTACCTGTTGTTGCAGCTACCGGAGAGGAGAGTTTCCGGGCTATATAGCCAATCTATACACCGTAAAGATGCTAAAACCACATTGTTTATGACTAAGGAACGACCGACTAAGGACCTGTGCTTACCCTGCCGTGTGTGTGGCCAGCTTCTCTAGGATCGGTTTGACTATCCGTTCATCATTGGATGAGGTTGGCCTGCCTTCTGCCATCATCACCACCCCTAGGACCCTAACAGGGGCTTGCGTTGGGAGCCGATCTATCTGGGGGTAAATCTTGGGGCCGTCCTCCCTGAAAGTGAATCCACCATCCCTGGTCTTTTTTCCGCAGTTTACCATCATGTCTGAGAGACTGCAAAAGTGGGTGGTCCTTTAAACTCTCTATTCCCAACATGTTTTCAGGGCAGGGGACCACCATCAAGCCAAGGTCAGATCATCCGCAAACATAGAACAGATAGGGATGGCCTCCTGTGCCATTGCCGCAGCCTTTATCTTTTTGAATGTTCGCATTGCTGCGCAGGTTTGCTGCCAGTGCCTGCCTAACGATGACGAACAGAAAAGGCGCAATCAGATCGTCGAGGGATGGAGTCGGATGGCGGGGATTAAGCAAACATTCACTTGTACTCTAGTTGTGCCATTTTGAATGCAGAATAGTGACCCAGCGTCGGAAGCACAGTCCGAACACTTCAGGTTGTCTAAGCATCTCGGCAAAATATTTGAAAAGTTACAAAGACAAGCACTTTTCATTTAGTCCCTACCAGACAACAGAATACCAACATCCGCCCCCAGACGACAGGACACCAACATCCACCCCCCCCACCCCCCTCCCCAAGAAAAAAGAACACCAGCATCCAGACATCAGTATCCCGACAGTCTGTGTGGCTGCCCAGATGTCTCGGATCATATTTGCCATAATGAGAATGGTGCCCTTAGCCCCCCTCCTCAACTAATCGCTCAGCATCTTCTATGAGATGGCCATCCATGCACACTGCTAATTTGCTAAATTCACAGACACAAAAGGTAACTGGAAAGGGGGGCGGGAAAAGGGACGGTAAAAAGTAATTTGAAAAGGGGCGGGAAGAAGGGCTGCATCAACAAGAGAACAAACCCAGAGGAAACACGAGACCAGTGATGTAAACAAATGTATAAGCAACAGGCTTTAGTCCCCACTCCTATGACTGTGCTGATACCTTTGACCAAACAAGGAAAGGTGTGTGCCCGACAAGTTATTGTTTAGAGTAGAACAGAGAACTTGCAGTGATCTCTCTCTCTCTCTCTCTCTCTCTCGGTCTCTCTCTCTCTCTCTCCCCACACACACACACAGACATACACACATACAGGTATGCACACAGACACGGTTGCAAGGAAAGAAGGTGGTAAAGTGCAGGTAAATCCTTGTGGGCCTCAAATAGATGAAAAGAGACGCAAAAACAAAATACATATGAAGTTATGAACATAAAAAAAAGTGCATCCGTAATTCCAGCAAACGAATAATCTCACTCAGGTCATTGGTAGGTAGTCGAGATGCAGTAAATTGCACAGAGCTCACTCACCCAGTCCTGTGATCCAGTATCGTGGGGAAGTTGATCTTCATGTAGGTGCAGGTGCAGATCACCAGCAGCACCACTGTCAGAAACGACTGAAAATCAAAAAGCGCTGACTGCACCATCAAATGGAACGACAGCCAAACAAAATCATAGAAGGTTTTTCACGCAGTATGTGAATGAATTTCCAACACAATTCTTGTGGACACCACAAGATGCCGCTTCGTCAACAGCCAGCAAAAAGCCCACTACCACCAAATTAAAAAAAAAGACATTGCATTTCGGACGTCACCATCCCCTCCATTCAGTCAGCCATTTCCCCCCCCCCAAGTCAGGCAGGTCAGTCAATCAACACTCAAATAGCAATCAAGCAAAAAACACGAAGAGCACTTCGTATCTTAGCCTAATCTCAGAACCATCAGCAAACAAAGACTTCCGCTGAAGACCGAGAGTCGATTACTGAAAACAGCAGCTACCAAGGTTCAGTGCATACAACCCAAACTACACAGCAACTAGACACAGGTGGGACTCCCCACGTCCTCCTCGAGGAGCCCCCACAGGTGACTCCGCGCATCGCGTGTTGCAAGCACCGTACAGGTTCCACGGACCAAGGGGGAACGCCATTCTTGACAGGGCACAGAGGTTCCAAATGCAGAGGGTTCAGCAGAACTGCCCTGTATGACTCTGATGAATCTGGTGTCATACCCTAAACCTAAAGGCAGCACCAATCGCAGTAGTGCTCCATCCATCCACCCTGCGGACCCCTACCGACCCTACCACATCCTTTCAGAATCCTGTGAGTATCCCTCTATCGCACCAAAAAAGAACAACACATTTTGAGCCCATGCCCCGCCACCTTTCACAGACGCCATGAGCGACTGATCTGAGCCTCATTCCTTTTTCTTTCCCGTAAACACACTCTAAACATTTCGGTTTTGTTCATGCTCTGGGCCTCATTCCTTTTTGTTTTTTTTTTCTGTAAACACACACTCTAAACACACAAACGTCCTTCAACCTGCAAACTTAACCAGACCTGATCCTATGGCGTTAACGAGACCAGATTCTGGACATGTTCTGGCCCTGCCGGAGGAGCAAAAACCTCGACGATCCCCTCCTCAACTCCAGGATCAATCGAACAGAGCCTCTTACTGCTCAATTCACACCTCACACTATTCTGCTCAAACCGGTCGGTCGTGATAAAACAGAAGCAGACATTGATCCTCGACAATCCCGCCGAGGGTTTCGGAAGCAGACCATACGATTGACAGGACCAGACTTTGGACATGTTCTGGACCTGCCGGAGGAGGAAAAACCTCGACGATAAAAGACCAAATCGATCGAAATCAATCAAAATCGATCAAACAGAGCCCCTCACTGCCCAATTCACACCTCACACTATTCTGCTCAAACCGATCCGAAGAGAGGATTCGGAAGCGGACATCAAAGCGGCTCCCCATGCAAGGAGGAAGTATCAGATGAACCTTCACCAAGGACATGCAAATCAGATTTCACAGAAGATTCCTCATCCTTATCGCCTTCACCGTATACATGCAATCTGCATTCATAGAGGATTCATTTAAGATTTCTTTATCCTTGCATCACTGCCTCATGATCTTCCTCGTCATCCCCCCCCCCCGGGAATATCCGGCTACTGCTACGCCTTCCCTGCGAGACCTTCAGACATCATTCTGTGTCGCATTTGTTACGAGGTGGCTCGGTACAGTAGTAGTAGCTCAACAGTTGTAGGGGAAGCAGCTTCTTTTGCGCCGTCGCTTTTCTTACCAACTCTATTATAAACGAAAAGAGAAGCAAAAGCAAAACGGATGGGACCACACGCCAGACGTGGCATTAACATCTGGCTTCATCGATTCGTGCCTGATGACATCGTCACGGCGAAATGTGATGCCTGCAGTCCGATGTCCTTTTTCTTCTCCGAAACTCCCCTACTACACTTTGTAGTTGTTTCCTGTACTGATTTTCAGGGTGTTATTGCTGTTCTGCCATAGTCAGTCATTGCTTTGCTTTGAAAGCATTCGCCACCGTTCGTCAGCAGGTTCTGTCCCTCATTCTCAACCAAAGTGCAATGTCCACAGCTGTACTCCCCACTGGACTGCCATACTCGTCGATCAGTTTCTTAGCTCTCTGCTCACTGTGTGGTCTCCCCCCTACTTCCCCTCTTTCTCAGGCTTACTCTTTACATCTATTTCCCAAGCATTTGCCAAGCACTTTTCAAGCATTGTTCAAGAGGAAACCAAGGCAACGAATCCGAGATAAGTGGCCTCGTTCCACTACACTTACATTCGACAAGTAGCTGGACTGGCACTTGGACCAGATACATTTGTACGTATCCAACATTCTGAATGTATGTAGGACCTCAAACAGGTCCGGATACATTTGGTATGCTGGGTAGTGGAGCAAAGCCCAAGATAACATCAACATACGCGCCAAATGTTGTGACCAAGAAAAGATTCCCTAATACCCCTTGTCATAGAAAAAACAATAGATGATGCCATCATGTGGCTGGCTGTGCTGCCGAAACACTGCGAGACTGACATCACACACCAAGATTCTTCTTAGAAGTTTGAAGCACATACTCAGATGTGACGGTGCTGCGGATTTGGGAGGGGGGGGAG